TAAATATAAAAATATACTTTAAGACTATCACAAAGATTTTCAGTATTGAAACATTATTTCTCGACACTATTTGAAGGTGGGCTCTAATTTGATTGTTTAGAGTTTCAGTTCTATACAAACCGCACATTTTATGTAATACACATATATATTTAACATGGCATTTAAATATATTTGATATATATTTTTTATTTTTGGGTCAGGTCCAATCAGGTCTAGGTTTAATAACTTCAGGTCGGAGCTTAGGTCCAGGTCTAAGTCCGAATTTTTTTTTTAAGTCCAAGTTCAGGTTCAGCCGGACCCAGACTTGATCCCGGTTGCCACTCCTAGTGTGATGCGTTGGTGGCTGTAAATGTAGTTATACTGTAAATGTAGTTATACGCCCCCCTACTCACAATAATACGGTCCCAATAATGTCTTCTCACCTGGTGATGCCGACTATGGCATTAGGCAAGAAAGATGACCTTAGAGTCATTACAATAAAGAAAAAAAGATTTCGTGTTTGCAAAATAGTGTTTCTTGCAACACATTATTTGGACCGTCCATTTTCGAGATCTTCATTTGTTTATAGATCTACTTGATTTGAACTAGTATTAGAGATTAAAATTTTATAATTATATATAAAAATAGGTTCTCAAACCATCCTAAGAATTTTTTATATCAAAAGCCCAGTTTGGATGTCAAAGAAAAAATATTTACATTGAAAAACATGCAATTATTTTCCTCCGCAATTGAGAAACATTATCGTTTTATTTTATTATGTTGGTAGACTGTTTGGATGTTTATTAAAATATGAGAAGAAAATTTTTTTTGCCAGATATGTCTGTTTGGATGCGTTGCAATAAATTCTAAATTTGTATTTTTTCTTTATTTTTCTCATTACATAAAATTTTTTTGACCAATGATCTCCAATAAAGCTGTCGAAAATGGCACAAAAATAACTCAAAATATGAAATCTTAAAGAAATCGATAAGAAATCTCAAACCCAATTTACACAATTTCATAATTTAATTATATTGATTCCTCTCTCTCTAGATCTGCAGTTCATTCCTATAAATGTAACAGATAGAGAGAATGAGAAGAACATAGAAATCAGAAGCAGGGAATAGTTAAAAATTATTATTTGAGAGAGTAACTTGATGGATGGGCAAAAGAGATGAGACATCCTTTACAAACCTTCATCTGCAAACATCTCCCTTTGCATACTTAGAAAACTAGATAGAGAAACTCTATGTTAAAAAAACTCGACTCTCAAGACCCGAAGAATCACGATTCCTCGAGAGTAAGATGACTCTCAAGACCCGTAGAATCACGGTTCTATCGAGCAAAACCCTGAATTTCTAGAGAGAGTAAGAGAGTACAACCGCTCTCCAGCAACCCACAACCCCGTGGAAATGCCAGTAACCCCGTGGAAATGCCAGTGACCTCGTGGAAATGCCAGTAACCCCGTGGAAATGCTAGAGAAAAAAAAAAGTTGAACTAGTACTCAGAGATGAGATCTGCGTAGTTGAAGATAAGAGAATGAAAGAGCTATTAGAGCTACTTGAGAGTGAAAGAGAGGTTTTTGTAAGTACGACTCAGGACGGGAAGATTTGAAGGAAAGGCACAAATAGGGAAGCGAAAATCTGCATAGTTGTAGATGAGAAAAGGAAGAGCTATGAGATGGGAGAAAGTGGGAGAGAGGCTTTTGTAAGTGCGACTCAAAACGGTAAAGTTTGGGAAAGGCGCGGTTTGGGGAAAGGCACGAAGTGGGAAACTTTGGGAAAAGGCGCAAAGAAGTTGAGGATGAAGGAAGGTTTGGAGAAAGGCGCGAAGAAGTTGAAGATGAGATAAGAAAAGAACTATAAGACTTGCTTGAGAGTAGAAGATGGAAGATGAGAGAAAGCAAGAGCTATGAGACCTACTTGAGAGTGGAAGATGGAAGGTTTGGAGAAATATGCAAAGAAGTTGAAGATGAGGGAAGGTTTGGGGAAAAACGCGAAGAAGTTGAAGATGACAGAAAGAAAGAGCTGTAAGACCTGCTTGAGAGTGGAAAAGAGGCTTTTGTAAATGCTACTCAGATCAAGAAAGTTTGGAAAAAGCACGAAAAAAATTTGAGTCAGGAAAGTTTGGGGAAATGCTTGAGTCACGTTTTTTAGCAAACTTGGCTTAGCATGATATTTTGGGTTTTTGGGCAAACTTAGCTTAGCGTGATATTTTGGGTTTTTGGGCAAACTTGGCTTAGCGTGATATTTTGGGCTCAGCAAACTTGTCTTAACGTCAAAATCCCTTTTGTTGAGGAATAAAATCTAACAGAGTTATCCAAACTAGAACCTCTTTTGTTGGGAATAAAATCTAATGGGTTATCCAAACGGTTCTAGTCGCTATCTCAATCTTTTTTTTTCTTGTCATTGGAAAATAAAACGGTTCCAGTGGCATTAAAAAAAATTACAACTTTGAGTACATCCAATCTGGCCCCAAAATATTACAATTTTGAGTACATCCAATCTGGCCCCAAACTGATCCAAAATTACATTCATGATAAAATTCAAAAAATATTGCAATTTCCAGTACATCCAATCTGGCCCCAAACTGGCCCAAAATTACATTTATGATAAAATTTAGATATGTGCCCTAATTCGATTGAAACCACACCCTAAATATGTATGCTTAAGCTTTAGCTTATGGAAACAACACCCTTAAATATGTATGCTTAGCTTTAGCTAAGGCTACTTTTCACCTATTCCCAAAAATATGTATGCTTAGCTTTAGCTAAGGCTACTTTTCACCTATTCCCAATACAATAAGTGGGGATTACAGGCCCTACCTGTTTTTAGAAATAAATAGCAAAAATAATTAACGGTTTTCAAATGCGACGGTGGAAATGAAAACCTAAACCAGTAGCTAAGGTTTTCAGTGGTGCTACCACCACGAACTCAACTCCATTCCCGGTAGTTGTTGGGGGCTGAATAAGACCCAACCCACCCATTCCTTGGTTAAACTTTTATCGAGGCATTTTTGGGCAATTAACATGAACGTGAAAGCAAACTTCGAATGTTGCATGTGTGTACAAGATGAAAGTGGCAAGCTCCCACTTCATGTGAAATCGCAAGGCATGAGAGTCAAATACATCGAGGCACATGCTAGTGTTATAAATCTGTAAGAGCGCAAACCGCCATTCATTGGCAAATTTTAGGCCGATCAAATATCAAATATTCACATAAAATGACCAAAAATAAAATGATTTAGCTTTCTTATGGACTTTATCACTAAATCAAATATGCACATGACCAACAATAAAGTGATTTAGCTTTCTTCTGGACAATATCACCAAGAACCTGGACAACCCAAATTACACCGTCTTATACAGTGAATGAGTGCCAGAGACCGGGTAAGCGAAGTGAATTAGTGCCAGAGACCGGGTCAGCGAAGTGAATTAGTGCCAGAGACCGGGTCAGCCACCCCAATTTGTCTTGAATACAATACAGTAAGACAAGGTCAACGGATAATGGCAACCTCCTACGAAGCTCTAAGCAGAAAAGCGATACACCCAAGCCTATCTTGCATACAATACAGTACGGCAAGGTCACTGAAGTCAACACATAAATCGATCGTGACCACGCATCAATATTTCATGGTAGTAAAGTTGATTTTCTTGTTTTACGAGACCTCTTCTTCCCACATCTATTCAATATTGGACAATTCCTTAATATACTTTTATTTACTAATATAACCTTTTACTCACGTAAATAGCCGGTTCGAACCTCATGGGCCGACACCATCTTCTTAATACAATAAGTATTTTTTATTATTTTCTTATTTTTCTCGTCAAAAAAAAATAATACAAGTATTTTTTGTCAAAAATAAAATAAAAAGTAATACAACAAGTATCATATTTTTCTTGTCAAAAAAAATAAAAGGTACTACAAATATTTCTTGTAAAAAAGAATATAAAAAGTATTTCTTAATACAACAAGCATTTCTTGTATGTTTTTATTTTTCTCGTCAAAAAAAAAAAAGTAATACAAGTATTTCTTGTCCAAAAAAAAAAATAATACAACAAATATCATATTTTTCTTGTCAGAAAAAATAAAAGGTAATACAACAAGTATTTCCTGTCAAAAAAATAAATAAAAAGTAATACAACAAGTATCATGCTTTTCAAGCATATATTTAAGCTATGATTATTATAAGCTTAAATTAGATATATAAAGATAATACAATATAAGCTTGGAGCATGTTGGTTTTTTTTTCTCTCTCATCTAATCTATGAATGCCTATTGTTAGATGTTTTTTTCACCTAAGAATAAATGGTCTGATTATATTTTTTATTTTTATAACATAATGATCTTTAACATAAATTTAATAATATTAATTTAAAGATACGGTTCATACAATGAGGCAACTTGAAATCTCTCTCTCTACTAACAATCTCTTCCACTAAATTTATTCTAAAAACTTAAAAAATTAGATTTTTGAAAAATTAAAGTGTTATGTAGAAAATTGATACGCATTCTAATAATTTTTATATTGATAATTAAATCTTTTATTTTATTCATTAATTTATTTACATTATAAATTATATAATATATTATTTTTTATTACCGTTATCAATAATACATTTTAAATTAGATGATATTATAAGATATTTTGGATTTATTATTATTTGTATAATAAAATAATTATAAAATGTAAACCAATAATTTCAATTTCATTATATAATATTATAGTTAGTTGGATTGTAATAATTTTGGATTATAATTAGTTAAGTTGTAGTAATATGGGTTTTTTTTAGCGGATAAAGATTTTCCACCAATTCGAGATTTTGGTGGTCATTTTTTCATCGATTTAATCTATTCTTTATTGTAATCCATATATGATTATATACTTCATTCATGATAATCCTACGATTTTTCATTTGTATTATGTAAATTTAATGGTTAACATAAATTCATACGAAGAAAAAACATATCAATATTCGCATATTGATGAATAAAATGAAAATTAATAATATAACACCCCCATTTCTTATTGGATTCTAAAAAAAAAACATTTATAATGAATTGTAATAATTGTTTTGGATTTTATTTAAGCTTAATCCAACCAATCCGATACACCGATCCATTTTTTAAACCACTAGCGCAAATGAAGCACGCGCCTATCATCCTCCATAAATTTGGACAGATGCTAAAGACGTTGGACCACCCATTGCGCTCCTCGTAGGTGAAGGTGTCAATGACAAATATGGATTTGAGAAATACATTTGATGCGAACTGCCCGCCTAGGCTCAAAATTCATCCCCTTTAGGCTCAAAATTTATCCCCTCATCCAAGATGAGATTCCCATACATGTCGAACCACAAGCTCAAAGAAATCCACTGTGGGATGTCTCCAAATTTACCACCCTGATAGGCTCGGCCATACCTTCACGTTCCAAGTCTTCGCATTTGAGGATTTCTTTGAGCATGTGATTCGGCATGTAAAGTAAAAGAATCGGATGAGGGGTATGAATTTTGAGCCTAGGATGTCAGTAAGCTCGTATTTGGCATGCAAACAGCTAAACACCTCGTCCCCTGATTGCAATAGTAGCTTCTCAGTTAATAACAATGGCTCACAACTGCTCAATGGCCGGCCGAGATAGGGAGATCAACTCCACATGGTTGTACCTGTTGGGAATTACATAATGCAATTCAGCTGAAACAGTGGGGGAGAGGATAAGAACTCCAAAAACTAGCCTCATACAAACTACCGAAGTAACACTCTACACATTCTTCCACGGGAAAATATCTAGATAATTGGTGCCGAATCTTGTATCTCCAATTTGTCTATGTTTCAAAGCCATCAAGACACACATGGCATAGATTGGATAATAAATACACACAAGCAGGTAGTAAAATGCCTATTTTGGCCTTAACCACCTAGAAATTTTTTTTTTTATTATTTTCGGTTAGACTTTTCATTTTTCTAAGAAATTCAATAAAATCGAAGGTAGCTGTATTTGGAATACTAATGCAACCTAGTTTTATTATTTTGGGTTAGACTTTTAGACTTTACTACACATTAAAAGGAGTTTGCTTCCTGTGCATTTCTCAAAATGAGAGGAAAAAATTCTCGCTTCAAACAAATTTAGATTATCAGTTTCCCTATAAAAACCAAAAAAATATAGTTCTTACAACATTGCGTTTTGGCAGTACCCAACCATCCTTGCATCAAAGACACACGACAAATGTTTGTTAGAAATCATACTATAACACTAACAGTAGAACAAATAATGCACAAACCCAAATCCAATAGTACATGATGCCTGGCATGACAATGCCCAAACATCATCACTAATGACAAGAACTTTTTAGGAGTTCATAATCTTAAGCCAATTAAAAATTTATCAAATGCTACCAGTAGGATTTGAAGGTCCAAACACCAGACTTGATGGTTACTAGTGATTTCCATCAATGAGCAATTTAATAATATCAAATAGGAGAGATAGTAGATGATTGATTAACAAACAAGACTTGCAAGGTCAAAATTCATGACATTATTCCACTAAAAGATGAATCCACAAGTCTTAACATTCATAAACAGAAAAAAAAGAAAAGAAAAAAAGATGAATCCACAAGTTTGCTTTCAAAGTAAGGCATATTAGGTAACATTAGGGACAAGTAGGATAAGTAAAACATTAGCAGGCCAACCTAACTAACCTTGTCAGAAGCAGGTGAATAATAACATGATCATACACTTGATCTTAGCCTTTTGTCTCAGAAAGAAATATGATCTTAATCATAAGTTAAAAATGACAGCAACATCATAAGGCAATGATATGTACTAGATAGATATCATTCATTCAAATCGTCATATGAGTCTGGACCAACAATTATTGAAGTTTTTATGAAGAAAATGAGCTCAGATAATGACACATACAATAGATGTGCCTTCAAGTTCATTTCTGAAGAGATGTAGTAAGTTTCTTTGTTCATACAGACTGCACCTGTTCCTTCTAATGGGATTGAAATTGATCCTAGTACTTTAATGCAGTGACTAAACATACCACTTAATCCTTTCACAAGCTGCACATTTTCAATTGTAGATTCCCGGTGAAACCTCAAGGAAAACAGGAATCTTCAATATACATCGATTGCAGAAAACCCAGGTCAGGTCAGGTCATGTCCAGATGCTAGATTAAACAAGAATTGTTCTAGAGAATAAGGCTTTTACAGAACCACATCCACAAGCCCAGTCATTGTGCAAACACTCCAAACTGACAGTTTCATCATATTTGGATTTAGAGAAATCATGGATCCTCAAGGGCTTTTCAAGAGGTATTCACTACATACACTTACAAAAAGAACTCTACTGATTACAAGAGAAAAATTTATCTAAAACCCATAGATATATACCAAGTTACTACCTTCTATTGACATATTACAGGATACCTCAGAATATAATATTTTTATATTTCAAATTGTCTTGATGCTTGTTCAACTTTTCCTACTTTAATTATCAAACACCTTAACAAAATATTTAAAAAATCAAAATTTGGTTTAGGTTTTGGAAACTTCATATTGTATCCAACAATATTATTGGATTGGGTAAGAGATTTCTCCATCCCCTAAGACCCCATTTAGATTGACCAAATATTTTGAACAGCGACCATGCTTTCCTCGAGCCATGTAGAAGTAAAAACGGCCCAGCTTAGTCCATTCTACTATTCAAAGGTGATGGACTTTTGTCGTAACCTCGCTTATCAACAAACACCATCAACCACATCTTGACACTGCAGGAAAAAAATATTTTTCCCCGATATATAGATAACTCCCTTGGTTTGTCAAAGTTGTTCAAGCCATCCAAATGGGACCTAAATCATTCAAAATTCTTTGAAGCAAAAATAGCTGTTATAGGACACCCCGTATTCCCAAATCTTTCTTTCAATATCAGATTTATCCTAAACCATCGCTCTTAAGAACTCCTAACCTCATTATATCCTAGTCTCTCACTATAGGTCCCACATCTAGTTCATTGACAAAAATTATGGAACAACATAATTGACTGATCAACTTATCCATAGCAGATTTTTTTTTTAAAAAAATAGTGAATAAGGAAAAATGAGCTCTAATGATGAATAAATCATGGATAAATGGAATAAAACATTCATAAAAGAATCCTATGATGTGAAAACTTACAGAAATAGAAAAGCAATCAAACAATAAAAAGAAGAATAACATATGAACGAGGTCGCCAACTGCTAGCCGATCATGAAAAAACCAGAACGAGATCACACCAAAAACATGATCGAATTCCACCTCAAAAACACATTAACAAACGACACAAATGGCACGTAGAAGAATCCTAAGATGTAAAAAGTTACAGAAATAGAAAAGCAATTAAACAATAAACAGATGAATAACATATAAACGAGGTCGCCAACTGTTAGCCGATCATGAAAAACCAGAACGAGATCACACCAAAAACATGATCGAATTCCACCTCAAAAACACATTAACAAACGGCACAAATGGCACCGAGGCAAATGAACAGCACCTCAAGAGAGGCAAAAAAAACTTAAAATAAACAATATAAACGTGCCGTTCATGGTAAAAATAACAAAAATGAAGAAAATTTGAAGAGAAAACTAAGAAACTAGACAACAAACCTGTAAATGATACATCAGTTAAATGAGTAGAAAAACCAACTTGACCCTGTTAAAGTTGGGTATTGATTTTCCATATATACAGTCTCAGAAATTGTACAGAGAGAGAAAACACACAAAATGAGGATGATCAGAAATTGTAGAGAGAGAAGCAAAGAGACCAAGACCAAGACCAAGAGAGAGGGGGGCAGATGGATGAGCATACCTGCGTCCAGAGCTAGAGAGTAGGGTTCTCCGTATGCTGTAGCGCGTTGGGGATAGACTTAGGGTTAATTCGGTATGGGTGCGGTTGCACAAGACCGAGGCTCTAAACCATCAAAGGCGCACCTTTAAATAGTGTCCAAAGACTTCAATACCGAAAATTTTGGTGGTCGCTGTAAATTTATTTTTATATCGAACTATAAAATTTAGAATTTAAAAAAGGGCGTGGTTTGTTACAACCTTAAACAATCCAACTAAGATGTACCTTCAAAATTTATCGTAATATCTTAGGATTATATCAAAATCTATTTTTATATTTAATTATAAATTTTAAATTTTAAAAATAGTTAAAATCAAGTAGATACATATGAAAATCTTGTACGATAATATATAATATATGAAAATAGACGGTGTAGATAATATATTGTACGATACAATATTTCTGAGACTCAAAATCTTTTTATTTTCATTGTCATACATCTCGATGTCGAGATGGCCAATCACAAGGTTTTTCAACATTAAAATAAATTTTTCTAATGGATTTTTGAGGTGCATCCGTAGTTCTACATTTTAAGGTTGCAACTTTATATAAGCTTTTTCCTTCTAAAAATAGTATAGTTCAAGCGCAAGATTGAGCATATCTACTACACTTAAAAAACTTGAAAATTGACAATCCAAAAATAAATGATAAGATCCCCTATTTTCAAGACTTAGAAATCCATTCTTTTGTCATGTTACGTGCATCTTTGCTGTTGAGATGACCAATTTGAGTGATTTTGGACATTAAAGCAACCTCTTTCAATGAAATTTTGAGATTCGTTGTAATTTGATTGTTTAGAGCCTTGTACTTATATAAACTTTTTCCATTCGGGATTCGGTCCTTAAAAACTTTATTAGCCAATGGCCAATGGATATTTTTTTTCATTTTTCTTGAAATGTTTTCATAAAGGACTTCGTTTTACCGTATTGAAAAATTTTTCCCATATATTGGGCTTTTTAAGGAAAAACTCTATATTATTGTTTGATCAAGACTATAGACATTTCAACTTTTTGTTCTGAACACAATTTTTTAGTCTATTTAGAAATGAGTATTCTCTTATAAATCTATTTTTGAGATAGATTTTTGGACCTAATTTTGAAGGATATATAATCTCTAGCTTGTAGATCATGAATATGACTAAATAAAGAAAGGAAT